AAATAGAAAAATATTAATCACCACCCATTAGAGTGGTTAATGGTGTATATTATATATACAAATATACTAGAGATTAAGGGTGTGTTTGGTTTGTACTTTCAAATAATTTTTTTTTTTAAAATTTGGAGTGAGAGTTTTGAAATTTTTTTGATTTGCTTGATTGTATATTTTAAAAATAATTTTAGAGTTTGGAAGTTTATAATAATTTAATATTTTGTTATAATTAAGTAGATATTTGTGAGAAATAATTTGATATTTTATCAAATTTCTACATGAATGTAAATTCCACATTTATATAAGTGTTGTTACAAAATTTTAGTAAAATATTTTGTATCCTACCATTGCTCATATATATACAAGAACTATCAAAATATATAAAATACTGACTGTAATTTTGAATTTTATAGTATTATTTGATCTTGACGAATGCTTTTGTTACTAGACTTTATTAGTTGGGACAATTACAATCTAGTGTAATTTTAAAAAAGGGTTCAGCTTGTCTCAAGTTGAGATCAAGATTGGACCTGCTCAGTTCGGCTCACGGGACCTATTTTTTGGGCCTGTTTTGATAATCCGAACCGTTTAATGTGTAGAACTCGTCGAGTACTACATGCCTGTAAAAAAATCACGTTAATCGGATATCAATAGCTATGTGATCAAATCAGTTTTGTATAATAAAAAAAAATGGACGGTGAAACAATTAACAGTTGATAAAAAACTATTTTGTTTACATAGCTATCGATATCCGATCAACGTGATTTTTTACAAGCATATAGTACTCGACGAGTTCTACACATTAAACGGTTCAAATTATCAAAACGGGACCCGTGGTGGGCCCCCACGGGCCCAATAGCACGGTCCAGTCTGATCTTGGACTGGACCAAAGCCACTGCCTTAAAAAAATAAGGGAGCTTTTTTGATAAATCCACTTTCTAAGAGTTTTATTCCATCCAACCCATATTCTTTTTTACTATTCCATTAGGTCCTACTTGAGATAAGAATACCAAAATACCCTTTTCATCTACTTATATTCCATTTAGTTCACATTATTTTCTTATGTTTCAATAAGTCCTATGGGTGACATAATTACCAAAATATCCCTAATGTGAATGTTCACACCATCAATGTGAATGTTCATATCGTCAATGTGTAGGGGCCCGGCCCATGTCGATTCTCGTGGGTGCCCGGAAAAATTTGAGTCTGGCCGGGGCGGGCTCGGCCTGTTGACAATGTGAATATTCACATTGACATGTTAACATTTACATTAATATGAGTGTAAAATTGGCCTGCGTCCCGTGGCGGCGTGAAACCCGCCCGCGGCCTATGAGCGGCCCGGGGCGGGCCCGGTCTGGCCCGTTGACAATGTGAATATTCACATTGACATGTTAACATTCACATTGATAAGAGTATAAAATTGGCCCGCGGCCCGGGGCGGGCCGGCCCAGCCCGTTGACAATGTGAATATTTATATTGACATGTTAACATTCACATTGATAGGAGTGTAAAATTAGTCCGCGCCTCGTGGCTGCCCGAAACCCGCCCACGACCCGTGGCGGGCCCGGCCTAGCCTGTTGATAATGTGAATATTCACATTGACATGTTAACATTCACATTGATAAGAGTATAAAATTGGCCAACGGCCCAGGACGGGCCCGACCCGGCCCGTTGACAATGTGAATATTCACATTAACATGTTAACATTTACATTGATAAGAGTGTAAAATTGGCTGGCAGCCCGTGGGCGGCCCAAAGCCCGACTGTAGCCTGAGGCGGGCTTGGCCCGACTCGTGATAATGTGAATTTTCACATTGACATGTTAACATTAACATTCATAGGAGTGTAAAATTTGCCCGCTGCCCGAAGCTTGCCCGGGGTAGGCCCGGCCCGGCCCGTTGACAACGTGAATATTCACATTGACATGTTAACATGCACATTGATAGGAATATAGAATTGGCCCGCGGCCCGTGGGTTGCCCGAAACCCGCCCACGGCTCGGGGCAGGCTCGTTTGGGTCCGAGCCCGAGCATGTCCGAGACCCTAGGCTAGGGCCTAGGCCATCACTTTGAAGCCCGGCCCGGCCTATCTGCTTAAGGCCCATTCAAGGCTCGGTCCGAGGCCCAACCCGCGCCAAGGCACAATGTCTTTTTTTGTGGAAAATAATAAAATTTTGGTAGAAAAAATTAAAAAGAATTAAAAAAAAATGGCCAGACCCGCCCAAGCTCGACCTAAGCTCGAGGCTAGGCCCAAGCCCACCGGCCCGACCCGAGGCTCAATCCATCGGCCCGTCCAAAGCTTGAATACCCTTGTGCTAGGGCTAGGGCCTGGGCCTAATTTTTTGGCTCGTGGGCCGGGCCAGATTTTTTCGGACACCCACGAGGCTCGATATGGGCCGACCCGGACCTCTACGCTTTGATGATATAAACATTCACATTGACGATGTGAACATTCACATTATGGGTATTTTGGTAATTATGTCTCCTATAAGACTTATTGAAACATAAGAATAATGTAGACTAAATAGAATATAAGTAGATGAAAATGGTATTTTGGTGTTCTTACCTCAAATAGGACTTAATGGAATAGTAAAAAAGAACGTAGGTTGCCCGAAGCCCGATCGCGGCCCGGGAAAGGCTCGTTTGGGCCCGGGCTCGAGCCTAATCCGAGACCTTAGGCTAGGGCCTGGGCCATCACTTTGAAGCCCAGCCCGGCCCATTGGCCCGGTTAAGGCCCATTTAAGGCTCGGTCCGAGGCCCGGCCCGCGCCGAGGCCTAGTGTCTTTTTTTGTGAAAAATAATAAAATTTTGGTAGAAAAAATTAAAAAGAATTAAAAAAAATGGCCAGGCCCGCCCAAGCCCGACCCAAGCCTGAGGCTAGGCCTAGGCCCATCGGCCCGCCCCGAGGCTTGACCCATCGGCTCGGGCTCGGACCCAAACGAGCCTGCCCTAGGCCGTGGGCAGGCTTCGGGCAGCCCACAAGCCGCGGGCCAATTCTACATTCATATCAATGTACATGTTAACATGTTAATGTGAATATTCACATTGTCAACGGGCTGAGCCGGGCCTACCCCGAGCCGCGGGCAAGTTTCAGGCAGCGGGCAAATTTTACACTTCTATCAATGTTAATGTTAACATGTCAATGTGAATATTCACAATGTCACAGGTCGGGCCAAGCCCGCCTCGGGCTGCGGTCGGGCTTCGGGCCGCCCACGGGCTACGGGCCAAATTTACACTCTTATCAATGTGAATGTTAACATGTCAATGTGAATATTCACATTGTCAATGGACGGGATCAGGCCCGCCCTGGGCCGCTGGCCAATTTTATACTCTTATCAATGTGAATATTCACATTGTTAACAGGCTGGGACAGGCCCGCCCCGGGCCGCCCACGGGCAGTGGGTGGGTTTTGAGCAGCCATGGGGCGTGGGCTAATTTTACATTCCTATTAATGTGAATGTTAACATGTCAATGTGAATATTCACATTGTCAACGGGCCGGGCCGGGTCCGCCCGGGGTCGCGGGCGAGCTTTTGGCCGCCCATGGGCCGCGGGCCAATTTTATACTCTTATCAATGTGAATGTTAACATGTCAATGTGAATATTCACATTGTCAACAGGGCGGACCGGGCCCGTCGCGGGCGAGTTTCGCGCCGCCACGGGACGTGGGCCAATTTTACACTCCTATTAATGTGAATGTTAACATGTCAATGTGAATATTCACATTGACAACGGCCCGGGCCCGCCCCAGCTCGCGGGCGGGCTTCGGGCCGCCTACGGGCCAATTTTACATTCCTACTAATGTGAATTTTAAAATATGAATGTTTACATCATAAAATTGCTAACCGTTCAAAAAATATTTATAAAGGTATCAAAATTAAATATAAGGGCATAAGTGTCCAAGAAAATAGTATAAATCAAGAGAAAATACTTTATGGAATAAAACTATACATACATGGGACTAAATGGGTTAAAAAATTCCTTCATATACTTCTTGGGTTAAAACACTTCTAAATAGGATTTATCAATAATTTTCTCAAAAAATAATTACACATAGGTGAAACTTTTATGATTTTAATTATTAATATTTATAAAATTTACTACTAATTTGTAATTATTTTTTAAAAATGACACTGATTTAATATTTTTCCTTTTTGAAAAATGCTTGGGACTTTTTTTTTAGAATCCCACAATTTTTTTTGTGAGACTCACTCATATATGTATGAAACCCACATCATTAACTATTGAGATTCAAAAAAGATTATAAAATTCTAAAAAAGGAGTCTCAATATAATTTTAATTTTAGAATTACTCACAAGATAAATACTCGAAGCTACATCCGCATGTCAATATCAAACGAGAAAAAAAGGTGCCTTGCACTACTATCCTTCGCTAAATTTTCAACCATGTGCAAATCATTGCACCAAAAGTCATACAAATTTAAGCAAAATTTACTAATTTGTATGGTTTAATTTTTGCATTTTTTAAAAATACTTTTTAATATTTAGTGAATTTAAAAAAAAATTTACACCTTTTAAATGAATTTAAATTAAATGAATCTAAAAATTTAAAAATAACGATTTAAATATTTAAAAAATTAATTAAAAACAATAAGAATCGAAAACTCAATTTGTTTTTTTGAAAATTAGTTTTTTAGAATGCATTTTTAAAATTTTTTGTTTAAAATTTAGTTAAATAAAAAAATTAATAATAAATGTCTTTTATTATTTTTATATAATTTTATCTTTTTGAATGATAAAAAAAATTTCTTAAAATTTAAAAATATTTTTTAGTATTTATTTTCTTTTGATTTCTTAAAATACAATTTTTAGGTTTCGTTTGAAAAGCCTAACTAGAAGCTTTTTTGATTATTTTAGTTATAAAAAAACAAAATAAACTTTTTAATCACAAAATATCACATTCAATTCATAATCATTATATTCTTTCTCACACAAAAAAAATTAAAAAACTTTAAAAAATCAAAAACATTCTCAAATTACACTTTTTAACATTAGACTAAAAAAAAAAAAAACAGCCCACCCTCCAAAAAAACCAACAAAGAAGCTTCAACAGGTTCAACTCGTCTTACACGGTGAGAGAGCTATTCTCTCAAGTTCATCCACCAATGGCTGCCTCTTCAAGCTCTGCCACTCTCAGAGCCATCTCTTTCTTCTTCAAGCTCCCACCCACCACCATCACCGCCACTTCACCTTCCCAAAAACTCCCATCCTTCAAGCTCTCCAATCCCTTTTTCTCCCAAAACCCCAGGCTCACCACCACCACCACCGCCTCCGTCGCAAGATCATTCACCTGCAAGAGCCAGAGCAACCCATCAGATCCTTCAAGACCCAGTAAGTATTTTCACTTTTCGAACAACCCTCCAAATCTCCTACATCCTTGATCATCTAATAACATTTTTTTTTTCATCTCTCTCTCTCTAGTTTCAGCCAAAGTTCAAGAACTGTGTGTGTATGAGATGAACGAGCGAGACCGTGGAAGCCCTGCTTGCCTTCGATTGAGCCAAAAAACTGTCAATTCTCTCGGCGATCTCGTCCCTCTCACCAACAAAGTAAGTCCCAGATCTGGGTTTCTCCTATTTCCTCCAAAACCCCAATTAGATTCACATTGGTGACTTTATTTTTTCTGGAATTTTTTTCCCGGGAACAAACAGAACAGAACCGAACCGAACTAATGATATTCATGTTTACAGATCTATTCCGGGGACTTGAAAAAGCGGTTGGGAATAACGGCCGGTTTGTGCGTGCTGATCAAGAACGAACCGGAAAAGAAAGGAGACCGGTACGAGGCCATATTCAGCTTCTACTTCGGAGACTACGGTCACATAGCAGTTCAGGGGGCTTACCTGACCTACGAGGACACGTATCTCGCTGTGACTGGTGGGTCCGGAATCTTTGAAGGGGTGTACGGTCAGGTTAAGCTACATCAGATTGTGTTCCCTGTCAAGTTATTTTATACATTCTACTTGAAGGGGATACCGGAGCTGCCGGTGGAGTTACTGTGTGCGCCGGTACCTCCGTCGCCGGAGGTGGCGCCGTCGCCGGCGGCTCAGGCTTGTGAGCCTGGGTCCGCTATTTCGAATTTCACTGATTGAGTTTGTAAAAATCATCGTGATGATGGAGAGAGTGCCAATGGCGATGGAGATAAAATTCACTTTTTCATGCCCATTTAACTTTTGTTAATGGATAAGCTTGAATTAGGAAAGACTATTAAAATAAATGGTGTAATCGATTAATTAAAAATATGAGTTATTTATAGCCTTGTTTAAGGTGCACTAATAAGTATGTGTATATATATATATATATATTTCATATTATCTCTCTATTTTAAGTATTTTTTCTAATTTTTTTAGATATATTTACTTAGATGTATTTAAAAAGTTAAATATTTTTAAAAAATAATAAATACACAAAAATACAAAAAATATATTGAATTGTCGTATTTTTGGTATTTAGTAAATTTTTTCACAAAAACTATACTTTTTAAGTGTATTTATGTTAGGTGTGTCTAAAAATTTTCTTAAAATATTTTTAAAAATCAATAAAAACAAAAAAAAAAACAAAAAAATAAGAAAATAGAATTTTCTGAAAAGTGTTTTTAAAAAATTGGAAACAATCATGGTGATTTGTGTTTTTCTTTATTATATATTATCAATTGAATCATAAAGAAGAGAGAAAATATTAACTATATGACTCTTAGAGCATCTTTATCAGGGTCCATTTGGGAAGAGTTTTTTCAGGTTTTTTTTGATTATTTTAGTCACAAAAGATAAAATAGGTTATTTTAGCCACAAAAAATAAAATATCACATCTTACCCATAATCATTACACTCTTCTCTCACAAAAAAAGTCAAAAAGTCAAAAAGTTCTTTCCAAACTAAGCTTTTTAGCCCAGGCTAAAATAGCCAAAAAAGTCAAAAAGTCAACCCACTTCCCAAACGGAAGCTCAATTTACTTATATTTTACCATAAAATATTATTAAAAAATTTATTTCTTATTTTAAGAATCACTTTTTCATTTATTTCTTCCAACAAATTCTCTGTTCTATTAAAATAATCTTTTCAATAGCTTTTAAATTTGAATTTTTTTTAATAATAAAACAATGAAATCATACTCGAGCAAAAAAAAGAAAAAAAAAAGAAAAAAAGGCAGCAGCAGAAGAAGCATATCATGTAAAGAACAAAAGAAACAAACCACTAACACATATCCAATTCAAGCACTAAAAGCAACAGAAGCATCAGGTGCACCCCACACTGCCCAAGCAAATCCTTCGGCCTCCTACCACCAAACAACAAAACTCCACTATTCCAAAGGAGCAACATTAGCAGCATTCCCCACTAGAAAGGACATCTCGGTGATTCGTCACAATCATACACAAATGTTGTAAAAATTAAAGATAAAGTCACTTACCGAAAAATCATTAAATTGCTTCTTAGAGTTGGGCCATATTTTTGAAGTGGGAATGGTGTTTAACTAGGTCAAGAATTAAGCACAAAATAGGCCTAAAATAGAGTACAAAATAGCACCAGCAAAGCAACAACAAAACAGCAGAAAACAAAGAAAGGTGGTCAACCGAGGCATCTCCCTGGACGTCTGGCCCCTTATCTGGGTTGTTGTGTTCGCCTACTCTGTTGCAGTTGTTCTACTTGTTCTTCTGCCGTTTTGGCCATGAAATAACATTTGTTTATGCTTAGGCCCGGTTTGGCATACTAGGAAAAATTCAAAAAGCCAAAAAAATCACTAAAAAAATTAAAAATTTATCACTATTCACAAATTAAAAATATAAAAAATTTAATTTCCACAAATATTTTAATACAAACAACGACTGGACAACGTTGTGGACGTCCCCGAACGCCCCCGGGAGGAACGAGTCCCCCGTTCCGTTCGATATTGGGCCCACTACAGTTCGGACTCTCAAATTGTCACGGTTCTAAGTCTGAACCAAAGAGTCCAGATCCGGCAAATCGTTTTGAGAAAACATATTTTTTAGAAAAGAAGTGCCAAACATGGACTGCTTTGCCAGATACAGAGTCGCCACCTAAATGTTTTATTTTGGGGAAATTTAGGAAACCCTGACTCGTTTGCCTAAGGCCACGTGTCCGTCATCACCAAAATTGCCTCGGCTTGAAAACTTGGGTACGATTGGGGAAGGTCACTTCGTGAGCACCCCCGCTCGTCCGATCAAAGATCGGCCTCTACTAACCATAATATCTAGTTTTGAAAACATTGTGCGTTCTTATTCCGGTTATTAGCCTAGATTACTATGTGATGCGCACAGCATACAAGTATAGACTGGATCGCCTGAATTGGAACAAAACATTTCATGTTTGTTTGTTTGAAAATGGTTTGATGGTGCTACCCGCAAGTAGGCTAAGACGTGGATTTGCCACCCTCGGGTGGGCTTAGAAAACATGATTTTGCCACTATCTAGTGGGCTTAAAAAACATACATTTTAACGAATTGCTCCAACTCAAATAACCCAGCCTTTACCCACAGGCATTCAGGCAGTTATATCACATAAGCATATAGCCTCATGGTAAGCATGCTATTCATGGCAATCACTCACACGCATGCAAGGATGCTAAAGCATAAAACTTACCGAGTACTCCAAGCCAAAACAGAAGCTAATTAGAAATCCATGCATGATCCTAATTATACAGAAATGCCTAATGCAACACATGCAAAAATGCAACTAAAATAGGCTCGGCTATTCTAAACATGGCATATAATCTAACCATCATAAGCTGGTAAATAAAAGGGAGAAAAACGTAGGGTTGGAAGACATGCATCACATACACGCACACTTATTACAGTTGTGCCCTCGCGCAGAGGGTCCGAATAAATAGTACAGTCCAAATAATACAGTCCAAATATATACAAATTCCTAATTATTTTACAAATTAACTAAGAACAATAATAAACTGGCATGCAAGCTAGGAACTGCCTTGACTCTTCTTCAGATGATGGATGATGCATGTCTGGGCTGCCTCGCGCGGAAATCCACTGGGATGCCCCAATTAGCCTCTATTTTGCAATTATTCTTGGAAAGCGCGCCAAGCTCCGGAAGGTTGCTGTTTCTTGATTTGCTGCAACAGAGAGCAGGAGAGGGGCATAGCAATGTATTTTCACAGATGTATGCATGCCTCGATCCTCGTGCCACCAATCACGCATATCAATGCATGATGCCCGAGGAATTAATTTGCATTACTCAATATATAATGAATGCACACATAAACACAACAAAAACCTAACTCTATCATGGATAATCCGGAGTGTCGGTGACTTAGAATTAAGACACGTTCCGTCACTCGGAGTACGAAACGTACCTCGTTTCCCGTGCTCGGGCTAACCCTTATCCCAAGCACGATGCAATATGCATGATATGCATGAAATGCAACGAAGATACAACCTAACATACACAATGCTATGAAATGGCATACACGATGCACGAGATAACATGGCATACACAATGCGCTAATATACAACCTAGCATACGCAATGCTATGAAATGAAATGGCATACACAATGCAATATGGGCTTACACCAACATGAGTAGACCTTAGCCACACTCACATAAGAGGTCATGAGATGAAAATGAGACACTCGAGATGCGTGCACGCATGTACGCAAACCGAGGATCGACCCTAAGGAACCAAATGCCACTCTAACAAGACATGGCAAGGCATGAAATATGATATGCAAACATGCAAATTTCAGAAGCAAAATATGATGCAAAACAGCCCCGGAAGATGGCAAAATGACACCCGATGCATGAAATGAGACCTGAAATGCAAAACTAGGCATGCGCAATGACTTATAGCTATACAAAGCATGCATTATTTGAACATGGAATGTAAAGACAGAGTCAAGACGGCCCAAAAATAAGCACATTTACAGTTCTAAGTAAGGTCAAACAGCGAATGCAAATGGGGCTAAACTAGCATGCAAAAATGGCCCCGAAAGCAAGCTAATGAAGCAAGTGAGAGCCGCTGACCCCAAACAGAGAAGGACCCTTCTACAATGTCGAAGAGGGGCCCAAAATATGACCTTTTACAGTTTATGATCAAACCCAAAACAGTGCATAAGCATGCTCAAAACACTATGCAAAACAAGGCAAAAAAGAGAGCTATAACACAAAGTATAAAAAGGATTCCTCAAACAGTAAAATACCCTTAATGAAACATGAAGAGGGGGTCAAAATAAGGTCATTTATAGTTCGGATCAAAGCCCAAAAACAGAAGCATAAGAGGCTAACAAATCATGCAAAAATAGAGCCAAAAGAGAGATACAAAGTCAAGTGGCAAATAGAAGCCTCAAACAGTGATGAGCCCTTCAACAATGTTGAATAAGGGCTCAAAATAAGTCACTTTACAGTTTATGATAGAGCTCAAAACAGTCTATACACAGGCCTAAAATACTATGCAAGGAAATGGCATACAAGGGAGATAATGAAGCAAGTGCAACAAGGAGACCTCAAACAGGTAAATACCCTTAAACAAACATGAAAAATAGCTCAAAATAAGCCTAGTTACAGTTAGGGTCGGAGCCCAAAACAGCAAGCAAGTATGGCTAAGAAAGCATGCAAAATATGGACCAAAAAGGGGGAAATGGAGCTTACCCTTGTAGACCAATCTTTTGGCAACTCTTGGCATGAGTTTGGTGACTCTTTAGCTTTGGAGAACAACCTCAAGCTGCTGGAATGAAGGATGGAAGGGTGGGGCTATGGGTTGGTGAAGAAATGGTGTAAGATTTGAGAGGTTTGAAGCTTGGAAGTGTAAAGAGAGAGAGATACAATGGAAGAGGCCTAAGGCAAATGTTGTAACCCTCAAACCAGCAGCTGGAGCTGCTGTTATATAGACAAAAGAGGGGGAAAAATGAGAGAAAATATGGAGGGAAAACAATCCAAGTTTCCCTCAAAAAATGCACCCCCCCGGATACACAATCTGGGGGGAAACAGAATATACAGCTGTAAGGAACAGGGTGCAAGGATCATGGCCGGCCAGCTATCTAGGGTTTAGATGGCCGGCCGGCTACCTCCCATGGCCGGTCGGCTAGGGATCAAAAGGGTCAAGAAGCATTAGTGGTCGGCCACCCCAAAAAGAGAGCCTCTGATGTGTGCACAACACAACCCTGTGGTTAAACACTGGAAATAGTGAACCAGGAGAGAGAACAACCCACTTTTCAAAGGGGTTCAAAAGGTTCAACAACAATTACTGGCCGGCCACCAAATATTGGTAGCCTCCCAGATGTGTACATCACAAATATGGAGTTTAGGGTCCAAGAAAA